AGTCATGGGCTGCTGTAAATGCTGCACGCCGAAGGTGCAGGCCATCGTGGGCCTGTCTATTGCTCCGCTGAACTTTGCAATTCTCATCTGGGCAATTGCAGAGAAAGTCAGATGGACTCCGTTCTATGTGCCTATGGAGTGCGACTCGCCGACCCCCGATGGCGTGAGGCTCTCATTGCTCAGCATGCCATCTCCTTTTGCCGAGTCCATGGGTTTGACACCGGGGTCTCCTCCACATGGCATCTACACGAACATGACTGTCACGACCGCCTGCTTCAACCCGGGTCAGGCACAGACAACCATTCTGGCTGCAGGTTTCGAGGCTGTCGAGCTGGCACCGAACCTCACCGATCTGGAGAACGGCGGCTTCGGTCTGCCGTATACGGAGAGTGCGAGGGCACACTTGGCTGGGGATGCGGTGTATCCCATCGGGGGTCGGGGCGAGATGGTGACCGTCGTGCAGACGGCAATGACCATGGAGAACATTTTGGCGAGCATGACCCCCGATGTCACTGCGCGCGGCTACTCAGTTGGCTATTCTCGCGTAACTCAGACAGTGCAGACATGTGCCGCGATCTTCGGCCTAGTGAGCTGCACCGATGTGCCGTCCGAGCAGTTCTGCGGATCCTACGCAGGCCGTCATTTGCACTCCCCGGTGTCTGTCCCGTTTTCCCACATGCGCACAACGCCCCTGGAAAGGCAACTGCATGGTGCCAGTGCTCGACTCCTCTGGTGATCCAGTCGTGCCGGAGCAGCTGGAGCCCGCCCTCTGTGCCTACACCGGGTGCCGAACCGTCGAAACCAAGCGCTTAAAGCTGCTAGGGCTGTGACCTGCGCGTCAACACTACACCGGACGAATGACCCCCCCGACAGGAAGCTCTGTGGCGAAGAGGCCGAGGTCCATGCCCAGTTGAGCCCGGAGGCAATGGGAATTCAGGCCATGGCACGGTCAGCGAGCTAGCCGCTAGAAGACTAAGAGATCGCTGTCCCCTTCTCCAGTCTGCCACTTCCTGTCATGCGAGGTGGTGAACCAGATGGCCTGCGATGCGGCGCTGGGGCTTCCTAACGGCACCCTGTGCAACGTCATCGAGGCGCCAGGTGTGGACCCGGCCACTATGCGGCCACGCGTCGTCGAGCCTGCTATCACCCTGACCACAGAGGCTCTTGCCAGGATGAACGAGGGCCTGGCGGTGGCAGAGTCGGCCATAAACATGATGATTTGGATTACTCTTGTGCTTCAGGCCCTCCTCTTCGTTGTCAACTTGGCATCTGGGCTTTTCAACCTCCGGAAGCATTTGCGAGCAAAGGCCGCCGCTCAGGCCGAAGCGAGAGGAGCCCCACCCACCTTGGCCACGAATGCCTTGGACAGCAAGCCGTAGTCGCCGCAGTGGGCAGTCGGGGTGGTGCATGTAAATTCGAAATTCGTCTTTGAGGGTCGGAGCTTTGCTGCTCTCTGGGATTCGCAAGATGCTGGATGCTGGCCTGCTGCATGGTCCATTGCATTCTTGAAACGAAGCTACTCTCAGTGTGACGAGCACAAAGCACTAGCAAGGTTTGGACCATGTGATGTCCCTTTGCCTCTCTGTCCAGGAGTTCCAGGTTCGTGCCAAAGGCACTGCAATGCAGTTTTTCATCGCCAGTCGAACCCTTGAAGACGCAAGCAGTGCAAGCAGTGTTGTGTGAGACAGAGTCCGCCGTCCCAACGGTGCGGTGACTCTGTGACTGTGAGGTCAGCAGGGTCAGCAAAGATACAAGCCGGTTTCCAGCATTCACGCACCGCTGGCTCTCCGAGCCGGTACACACGCACACACTTGTACACACATCTTGTTTTGTCAGATTCAAACCGCGTTTGCAGACGGCTCTGCGTGCCAAGGACTGGGACGGTTTGGGCTTCGGCCTCACCACCAAAGCCACGCAAATGGTCGTGCCAGCCCTGGGCCGATAAACTAGGTACTCGCACCCTACTGATTTCTGCTGACGTTGCTCATGCTTCCGTGCCACGGCGACGACGACGAGAACGACGACCCCCACCAAGACTGCGGCCGCGACGGCGGCTGCGGCTCTACCTACTACTAGTACTGCTCTGTATACGTGTCTTGTTCCAGTTGTGCTTGAAATTGCGCAAGAGCCGAGCAATGGTAGGGTCATTCTGTCCCACACCCAGGCAGACAAAAACAGAGGCCAGGAGACTGGTTTCGCCTTTTTCAACAAAAACATGCACGAACGCCGTTCAACAAAAGGACGTCCCATCCCAGATGGCCAGTGAGTGCTCTCGAGCTGTGTAAGGTTGCCAAGTGCCCCTTGGGTGGCCACTGGTCTGACTTCGAGGCGCTGGGGTCATGGTTTGCAATTGCTAGTGCTGCCGAAACTCTCTGCAGGTTCAGCCGTACGGGCCTCTCCAGCTCGAGCCTGCCGTGACCCGGCCCAGATTGATCGTGAAGCTTTTTTGATGTAGGCTGGATAGCAGAGATGTTTGTAAAGCGAACACGTCCCGGCCCAAGACGACAGCACTGAACTACGGCCAGTCCATCTTCGAGGGGCTGAAGGTCCGGATCCGAGTGGACCCGAGTGGCTTCCGTTTCTGGCACTTAAAGAGGAGGTTTTGTGAAGCATTGCTTCGTGGACGACCCGAGCCATTAAGTGTGTAGCGGTGGGTCTCAGTGTTAGCGGATGCCTGCAAGGCCTTCCGGACCAGCAAAGGCAGCCGGGCTTAGGATGACGAGACTGTTGCTTGGGATGGTTTCATCATGTTTCATCTCACCTCGAGGCAGGATCGTCCTCTTCCGGCCAGACAGGAATGCCGAGCGATGCTCGGCCGCATCTTGGGAGCGATCTGGCAGCAACCTCGGTGGATTCTGCTGAGGCATGGCAGGAGGCGCAGAGAGGCCCGGGAGGGACAGCATGTAGATCTGCACCTGGTCAGTGCACAGGGTCGCTCCGGGTGATGATGGTCTTGCGACTCGCCAGCTTCAAGCTGGCAGAGTCGTCTTCCTGCAACTCATAGGTGGGATGATGAGGTTCTAGTTGCATGGAACATCGGATAAAGGGGTTGGTCGTGTATCGGCACGGGCTAACGCTCGGAAGAGCTCCGACCCCAAGAGTCCCAAATCCTCGCGACCAGGTTCCTGATGCCCCCAGTGCCCCGGGACCTCTTCATGCAGATGTGCCGGGATGCCGTCCGCACCTTGCCGCTATGGATCTACGGAAAAAGACATTCCGGGGCTTGTGCCTGAAGAAGACTCAGTGGCATGACCGACGCTTAGGTTCGACGAATAGGTTTTACGAAGTAAGTTGCGATACTACTCCGCAACTTACGGCGCGAATAGCTCATGGTCATGAAAATCAAGTAGCACTAGCCGCTAGCTCAAGCACGTTTGCGACCCTGCCGGCCACTTCCGCGAGGTGCCAATGCGGACTGGGTGCCTCCAACAGGCGACGTACCGAGAAATTCCGTGTCGGGCCTCGCGCTATAGCCGCCTTCGAGCTTTCCAGCCCGCAGGCAAGGGCTCTTTGTACATGCGACCCCTTCTCTTTGGCAGCCTTGGCCTCAGAAAAAGACAGCTTCGCCGACATCGAAGTCACATGGATTGATCTTCTACTCTTAGGCCGCATCCACAGGTCTGAAACGTGTCGAAGCGGTTTTGCCGGGTCATCGTTTCCATATCCTAAAGCAGACCCTGCCAGATCTGTGCACTTCGGCTGACCTTGCAACGCGAAGCATCGGACCGAAAGCTCTGAGAAGTTAACTTGCAAGTTGGTGTATCCTCTACCCTTCAGCGCTGCTAAACGCAGTTGCATCACGCGTCTTACTAGACTATGCCGGAGTCATCTTGAGGCGGACCTGCGCTGGGAGTGGGCGAGACCCCCGGTCTTGGATGAAGTGCGTGCTTAGGCCGTGCAAAGCCAACGTTCCAACCAAACTCGTCACCCTGAGTACCCCAAAAGTACCCCAAAACCCAAGGAGATAAACAGAGCCTGTTTCCCAGAGCCGAAAAAGAATCGGAAGACTCCGCGAGACCAGGGCCGAGCCCCGAGTTCACCTTCGTCATCTACGTGGCGCCGGTGGGGAGGTGCGGCGATTCTTCTTGTTCCTTTCGGCTCCCCCTAAGGCACCTTCTAATGCACTTGATAATACAGCGGGCTCCCGTGTCTGCTGAAACTCTCATCGTTCTGGCACTTGAGATCGCACTTGGTGCAGAAGCAAAACGTACCACTGCAATCGGGATGTCTTGAAGGCAGAGGTTTTAGAGCCTCGATTGAAAAAGGTTGAGGCAGTGTGCTCTCCGTCTCGCGGTACCTCTCTGCTCACTCCAGTTACTGTAGTCTACTAGGCTACAATCAAACAGATGCTTACCTTAGAGGATTGGGGCTCCTCCGTTGCATCTCTTACTGGTAGAGCTTTCTGCGCTCCCCTTCGCTTTGCTGCGTCGCTCGCCCCACCGCGCAGCTACTTCTCCGGCAGCGGAGCACGGCTGCGGATCGAGCGAGGCCTGAGGGCACGGGAAGTGGGGGCTTTCGATTTCGTTTAAGAGAGGACTCTCTCGGTCCGGTTCACGGGAGTCCGAAGTCCGAAGCTCCGTGAGCCGAGGCCACCACCGGGCGGCCGAGCTCGGCGTTGGAGACGTGAAGGCCGCCCCTTCGGTCCGTGGGGTGACCCCTCCTTGGTCCTTGCACTTTGCAGGCTGCAGGCAACTACGCGCGCGGCCCTCGGGGGGGAAGGGCCGAAGCCAGGTCAGGGGACGGCCCCTTCTTTTGTGACGAGGGTCAAGGTCTGTCGCATGTTGCTTGGACTCAGCAGATGTCCTGGCACATGAGGGTTATTATTAAGATGCGAGTGCCGTCGAGCCCCCCCTTGGGTTGTACATGCTGTCAGAGTGGTGCAGTGGTGCTTCCTCGAAGCTTCCACGGTTTTTTGTCGAAGTCGGCCGTCTTTGCACGGAAGGCCTTGTTTCAGCCCACAGAAGGATGCCAAAGCGGCAGGCCAGACCGGGATTCTTGCGGCAGACCAAGCTTCCTTGCAATTGGGTTCTGCTCCATTGAAGATCCGATGGTCTACATAGAGACAACATGGGGGCATTCTACCCGAAACCCAAAGCCCCAGCCGGCCATGACCGACAGCTCAAACGAGTCGCAACTGGCCGGTTGACCTCGGCTGTCACGGCACATTCGGCAGAAACCATCAGCTTAGATTCTTAGATCGGCCTCTAGCTCTCTCGCTCGACCCCGCCATGCGCCGCCTCGCCGCGGCATGGCGACCTCGGCTCCTTTCAAGGAGCCTTGCGGCGGAGGCGGAGGCCAGGACATCTGCCCGGCAATCCCTCGCGGCAGGGCTTAGGTCCTGGAACGAAGCCCGAGATGCTTCCGAGATGCGTCAGCTTCTCCTGGTGCGACTATGTCTTGCTGTAAGCCCAGAGGGTGGGATCGTGTGGGATCTTCCTAGCGCTTCCAGCTCTGGCCCGGGAGTTTTTTGGGTCGTGCGCTCGTGCAACCTTCCCAAAATCACACGGAGAATGGACAGACATTTGGTTACATTTCTTCCCAGTGACATGATTGTACTGGTCCACTCGATGCATGCTCTTGTCGAGCGGATGTATGTAGGTAATGCTGCGCAGACTACGCATTCGTACATAATCTTAAGGACAGCTAAGTGCATCTTTAGATACGTCCGTGTACATCCATGAGCACAGATGTAGTATACGCAAATGTCAACCCACACACCTGCTTTACAAAAGTAATTTCGTGTTTAGGCTTACATGCCTGCATGAGGTGCCTTGCTGAGTGAAGGTGGTACAAGCAAAGGACCCGGCTCATGTCCTCAACCGTCCTTCCGTGACAGGCCGGCGAAATCGTGGAGGTGCCCACTGAGACGCTTACAACATTGGACCGGTACGGCAGGGGAGATCGGGTGGTAAAGCTCTCGTTGAGCGGAAGCTTGTCTAATGCTGGATTTTTTTGCTACACTGGGTTCACGGCGAAAGCTTGTTGAGTTGCAGCCGAAAGCATGTAACACTTGAGAGATGTCCAATTCCTCATGCAGAAACACTTGTGTCTTCGAGTGAGACTACGGAGAAGGATCCAGCTCTGCCAAAACGGTGCCAATCTGGTCTTTGGGAATCGTTCTTCCAAAGCGGGGGTCGTAGTGGTTGAAGCAGACCGGGGGTAGCTCGAACCTGTCAAGCTGAGCTCGAGGAACCAAGTTCCTGACACTGCGCTCGACACTTGCGCACAGCGCGGTGCTGGACAGCATCGTGACACGAGCTGAGACCAACGAAGCCTCTCGGATCTCCTTGGTGCTCCAAGTGTCCCCAGAGCCCAGGAACCTCCAGGAATCCTCTCAGCCCTGCAAGCCTGGAAGCCTCAAGCTGGAGCCAATGGAAGCCCCACTGTTTCACATCTCTTTGGCATCTCCATGTAGGTTACTGTAAGGATGTGCGGACATGAAGCTAAGGAACTTGCGAATGATGGTGCCATCTTCGTAGATCGAGAGACTCCTCTGAACACCTCGGGTCTCCTCGGGTCTAGGCGATGCGCGGCAAAGTCAGTGCGGCCTGAGGAGCTCTTTTCCACAGCTTCCAAGGTATACGGGTACAGGGAACAAGCAAGGTTCTTCTGGCAGAAAAGGCAGTTCCATGCAGTGTCAGGCTGCTCGGTTTCCAGTTGGCGTAGATACTTCCTACACCCTGAAGAATCCCCGAAGCAGACGCCCAAACGACTGAACCCTGACGAACCGAAGTCTTCATGCACCTCAGCCGAGAATTCGCTTCGAAGGTACGCCAACAATCGAACTTGCATGGCCGCTTCTGAAATCGCTTTGCAACTAATTGTAGCGGAAATGTGCATTTTCAGTCTAAAGTACATTAAACGGACGTGGGACGCTGGGGCCCTGGCTTTCTTTCCACAGTGCATCAGGCGTCTTTCGAGCGGTCGATCGAATCATGGAAGTGCTATGCACCAGCCCCCAGAACCCATCGCATCCCATCACCACCAAAGGTTTATTCTTCCTGGCGTGTAAGCTTTTCGAAACCGCTCTCCGTTGCCTGAGCGATGGTAAGGATCCGAAGCACTTCCCGATCATCCTCAACCACTTGAGGCCCGGTATGACCCAGTTCTGATGCAGCAGGTCGACATCTTCTGCAGTTCCTGTTGACTCCCGCTCCATCAGCTGGCCTATGCATCTCATTCAAGACACTCATGACTTCTCACAGTGCCATGAGACGAGGATGAAAGCAGAGGGCCGCGAAATCTTCCAAAACCCATGCAAGTGGGTCAAGGCCTTGCCGATGTGTTGTTCCGACTGTTTTGGCAACTCCACAGGTTCCGACTGTTTCAGGAGCTAGAAAGCAGGGTCGCGACCACTGCTGAGTAAAGCTTCCCAGCCGCTGCAGGGGAAGAGCCACGCACCCATGCTACCCAGAGACACCGCTGATCTGCGAGACCTCCTTGTGGAGGCGGAGCAGTTTCCATCGAGTTCAGTGTGTCACGCGTCAGACCTGGAGCCAGGCAGAGCATTATGGCCTGCCGGAGCTTCGCATGAGGCACCTCTGCATGCTGCCGGAAACTTTGAGGAGAATGAGGGGAAGCATTGCCCAGAGGATCCTTTCGAAGAGGAAGCTGGCGAGGCTCTTTAGCATCATGGCGGGTAGCTCAGGCCGGGTGCTGCAGACTGCGCGTCCGGAGGAATCATCGAAAGCCCTTGCAGGCAACCCCTTCGACAGTGCCACGCGTGTACTGATGACGATTCGTACCCCGGACAAACGGATGAGAAGTTTCTCGCTCCCCAACTGCCCTGAGAGCCAGAGGCAACACAACTCTGCTGCTGGGAACGGGGCTTGCCAGCAGCCAGGCCGGTCACGCAGTGAGGGATGGCCTGCCAGCTTGATTGATGCCTGCTTAGCTGTGGCTGTGGAAGGTCATGCTGAGCCAGCTCAAAGAATCCAAGGACTAAGAAATCAGGGCCAGGGATCTCGGTAGGAACAGGCTTGGGTTTTGAGTGCCTTTGGCTTCCGGTGGATTCAAGTTCAAGTCCGGAAAAGACTTCTCTCGTGGCGGGGAGCACTGACTCTCGAAGCTTCGAAGTGCTGTCTCCTGCTGTGTTGTGCTGAGGACCCCATGCAGGCCCTTGATGTTGTGACCAACTTCACGAAGACCCGCGCGGGGACATCCTCGTAAAACCTTCCGTAGCACAGCTGGCAGGGACCCAGGGAGGCTGCAGAAGACTCTGCGGGAGGTCGACCTCGGGCCACCGCCTTTCAGTGGTCTAAAAAGGACGCCGGAGTGTGCAAAGCACCGCCCTGGCCAAGCCCTGCTTTGCATGAAGCCTTGCAGCATTTTCCAAAGCTCGTTTGTTCCAAAGCACTGAATCGTTTCTGTGGCGCAGCCCAAAAAAGCGTTCCGCTCCGTTGACTGGAAACTTGGGGTGTAAATCTTCAGCCTTCGGAGGCTTCTCCGACATCCTCTACTTTGATCCCAGCGGAGAGCGAGTGGAAGAGGCTCTGCCAATCAGTGGAAGGAAAGCCGAGAAGGTTCTTCACAAGAATTGACGGCTCGCACAGAGGCTGCGGCGAGCAATTTCTTCTGCATCACTGAGGACGCGCGTGGTCTTTTGGGGGTTGGGCCGACTTCGGGGCGTTCTGTCAGCATCTCGATTAAGTTGAGATATCAGACTTGCGTGAGACGCCGTCAGACTACAGCGTAGGCGAGAGCCGACGAGACTGCATGCTTCGAAGAAGCAGGGTTGGGATGTTGTCCTGCCGTTTGTCAGGACGGTGTCTTGAAGACACCTGAGCTTGGCACCATCCTGCAGGAAGCCAAGGAAGTTGCTTTCAGTTGCGTCGCATCACGATATCATCGTCATCGTCATCGGTTGATCCTTATCAAGGCCGGACCACTAGCAGTCACTAGCACTCCTCGCACGAAATTCCTGGGTGGTGTTGGTGCGCACGACGGGCAATTAGCGTTGGGTGGCCAGCGGTATTTTCGCGATCTTCGAGAGCAAGAGCCAACGGAAAGCCTTAGGATCTCTAGTTTGACAAGCATCTCCGCATGAGCTCCAAGTGCGCTGTTCTTGAGAGCTTCTTGCTGGAGACCCTCGATCAAAAAAGCCCTTCCCCTCTAAGGCTGCCACGGGGCATCCTAGTACTATGGTTGTTTTCTAGCTTACTGGTGATGTGACCAGGCAGATGGGACTTTACTTGCTTTGATTTGCCGGAATCCGTCCTCGAAGTGCCTTGCTGGCATGCTTTGGAGCCATTGAAGCTTGTCGAGGTCCGGGGTAACGCGCGACTCCATCCTGCAGTTGGCCAGGTGGGAGGGCCTCGAATGAAGCGCAAGTCGCATTTACGCATCCTTAGCTTATGGTACGAAGAGCTGACTACATGCATAGAGAGACGCCTGCAAACGAATGAATGCATCAATGAATGAATGAATGAACGAAGGAGCCACCGCACGAACGTATGAACGAACGAACGAAAGATGAACGATGAACGAGTGAATGAATGCATGAACGAACGAACGAGTGAACATAACAATCATATCAGCGAATGATGGTTTACTAAGTAAGCCCTTACGTACGTATGTAGGTATGTATGTGTCTGTACGAATGCATGCATGCATTTTATGCATGTTTGTAAAAATGCGTGTATATATATATACACACATACGCATATGAAGGCACATATATGTGTATATAATACACACTATCGCTATCAATATAAAAATAAATAAACAGATATATATATATATATATATTTTTACACATGACATATATATGCATATGTGTACGATTATGTACGTATGTATGTATGCATGTATGTATCTGTATCTATGTATATGTATGTGAGTGTGTACATGTGTATTTGTATTTATATATATATACAAATATTTATGCGTATCTGTATGTGTATATGTATGTGCATATGCATATGTACATGTTAATGTTTATGTACATGTACATGGATATGCATGTACATGGGTTAATATATATATATGACACAAATGTGTGTGTGTGTGTGGTTTTGTTTTTACAGATTATATGCATATGTTCGAACATGTGTATGTAAAGGCATATGCATATGCATATGTATATGTAGATGTAGATGTAGATGTAGATGTATATGTATATATATATACACATGCGTATGCATGTATTTATGTATGTATGTATGTATGTATGTATGCATGCATGCATGCATGTATGTATGTATGTATGTATGTATGTAACATGAATCTACGTATGTATGTATGTATGTATGTATGTATGTATGTATGTATGTATGTATGTATGTATGTGTGTACGTATGTGTTTGTATCTGGATGTAGGCATGTAGGCATGCATCCTCTTTTCAATGCTACATAACATACAGTCTCTGGTAATATAGGGCAGTATTGGCAGCATCTGTGAGTCTCTTGTAAGGGTTGCTGCATCGATGGGCTCCACAGTTGTTGTGACATGGACACTCCTGCCTCCTTACCCTGTCTTTCCAGGCTTAGACCTTTGCCTTGCTGGCAGATCCGTCTCAGCGTAATTCTTCAAACTGGCGAGAGCCTGAAACATCATGCCGCCAAGTTAAAGTTGATACAGCCACGTCCAAAGCCACTCCTGCATTGCTAAGTGGCTGCTGAAATGTTTTTCGCCCAGCATTCCCCCAACCTATCACAATCGGCTCAGAGAAAACACGGACACAATCTCGTCGTCCTGCAATGGTTTCCCAAACACGAGGTACACAAGCCGGCTAGGTGAGCGGAATGCGAACCGTGTCGGAAGGACTTCCGTTGAAGGATGATGAATTCGGGCCGTTGAATCAATCAAACCTCTGCGCAACCAGAATGCGGGCTCAGAGACACAAGTCCCCCCGCGAGCGCGCACTTGAAAGCCATGTCCAACACGGCTCACGGCTGAATCCCCGCGGCAGTGTGAAAATCTGTGACCCGACTGCCATCCGACGTCGTCTCTTTCCGTTTGCAAGTAAGAGGCTCTTCGCAAGCAAGGTGGTGGTGTAAATGTACCTCGTCACAGTACCTCGAGGCCACAACATTTAATGCAGTCCTGTGAGTGTATTTTGTTAACTGGAGTCAGGCATATGGCTGCTTCTGGTGAGCTGAGTGGTGTGCAGGCGCGAGCTCTGACTCTATCTCTCTCTGCACGTATGTATGTATGTATGTATGTATGTATGTATATATATATATTTAAGTATCTGTGTATATGCATGTGATTATGTATATGTATACATCTATCCGTCTCTGTGTCTGTGTATCTATTTGTCCACATAACCAACAGACTTTATATGTGTATGTATATAGTGTATATATATATGTCTTTATGTATGTATATCTGTATATATGTATGTTGTATATATATATATATGTATGTATGTATGTATGTATGTATGTATGTATACATATATGTATACATATATATATATACACATATACATACATATATATATACATATATATATATATATATTTGCGCCTGCGTATGTACACATACCTGTATGCAAATAAGTTTCGAGGTATGTAAATGCACAAAGTTTGTATGTAAGTGTGCGAGTATGCCAGTATGTAAGTATGTTAGTAAGCAAGCAAGCAAGTATTTCTGTGTCTATGTCTGTATACATGTACGAGCGTATGTTTGTACGCATGTACGCGCCTGTCAGTCCGTCCGTCTGTCTGGCTGGGTGTCTGGGTGTCTGGGTGTCTGGGCTGTCTGGGTGTCTGCGTGTCTGGGTGTCTGTGTGTCTGTGTGTCTGTGTGTCTGTGTGTCTGTGTGTCTGTGTGTCTGTGTGTCTGTGTGTCTGTGTGTGTGTGTGTGTATGTGTGTCTGTGTGTGCTCGCTTCTTGGTCTA